GTGTGGTACCCCACATGAGTCAGACGATCAATCTCTGAAATTCTTTTTTCAATTTTTTTTGCCTTTATCAGTCAATTTAAGTTAGAAAATGAATATTTAGTGGTTAAAAATGGTTTTGGCTCTATTTTTGATCTTGAAAAGTGCCCCAATAGTGGATACCTAGGCTCCATATAGTGAAGTACACCATAGAAACGCGTACTTTGAAGCCCCAAAACTCGGTTGAAACGCCTTTCCCCAAGCTCACGTTGTGTTTTTCGGAACCGACACATAAAATTACCCCAGGAAAACTGGTTTTGAAGAAAAAAAGTGCCCCCCCCCAACTAGGACCTGTCATTTTTTAAAATTTTGGTTCTTACGAGTTAAGTTTTATTAATTCTCTTTTTTCAGATGCTAAAAGATCAAGCGCTGGAGGGGACTCGGAAGCACAAGAGGGAGAGAAGAAGAAGAGGGGACGAAGCCAAAGGAAGAAGGAGAAGAAGGCGGCAGCAAAACAGTGGCATAAGGACCCAAACACGGTAACGATCCTTCCGAAGAAGGAAGCGAGAACACTCACAGCTATTGAGGTAACTTTTTATTTAATAGGTAAATTTATGGCAGCCAATAATTGAAGGTGGTTCTATCAATCAATGGTTTATTTGATTATTTTTAGGGATTGGAAAAAAAAGCGAAGACTTGGAAAGAAAAGCGCATAAACAAAGGGAACAAAGAAGACTTTGGTAGGTTTATTTGTCTTTCAAATTTAGACAATTCTAAACTCATAGAATGTTAGTGGACCATAAACTTTTTTGTTGAATAACTTGACATTTTGCTGTATAACGGTTATTTATTTGGTTATGTTACAGGCTTTACGAAGGACTCTACATGGGAATGGGCCAATCGGGATTTTGATAAGAAGACGACATACTTATACACAGATGCCTCCCGTGTTGAGACGAAAAAGGACGAGCCAAAACTAACGGGAATCGGCAATTTTTTCGGAGGTCTTCATCCGCTCAATTTGTAAGGGCTCAATCATGCTATAATTATAGTACCGAATATCAAAATTAGGAAAATGCTTTGGCTGATTTCTAAAAATAATAACTTTTAAATTTAGGAGTCTTGCCATTGGTTCAACAAACTCTGTTTTTGCTGGTGAAACGCTGGCGATTAATGTCGCCCTTCATCGACTTTATTTTTGGGGAGGATTCAAGTAAGCTTTATTCATTTGTACAATAATAATAAGTACCGGCAATTTTGTGTGTAAAAAATTTTTTGATGATTTAGGGGCCAGCGGGTGGTTGTACGAACGGATTGTTTAAACCTGATGGATGAGTTGTGGAACCGCCAGAACCCGGAGAAGGAGGCGAGAAAGCTGTACAGATATGACTTGCAAGAAAAGGATCCCGAAAAGTTTGTTGTTGCATTTGTATTTCTCTACATTTTGCGTTCAGTTTACAAAATCTACTGCGTCTCTTGAGTTGTTTTCCGGAAGTCACTCTGCAATGGGTACAAAGTCACGTCCGCGGATCCCCCGATTGTGGAAACGATACGGTAATGCTTTTGAATATGTTATTTACAAAATGGTTTATATAGTTCTTCTCCAATTTACTTTGATTGGTTTTCTTAATTTTAGGCAGATGAATTAGCTCGAAAGGCGATCGATCTAGGCAAGACACCTCCTCCCAATGAGGCAAGGGAAATTACACCCTGGAACCCAAATAAGCCTCAAATTACCTTTGGCAAGTCCCTTTTCAATTTATTTGAAAGGAAGCAATTCTGTATCTAGTGAAAATAATTCGTATTTTTAGGTACCGACGTAACATCACCATTCAAGCCGCAAGAAATTCAATACGACGAGACTTCATCAATTGGACAGCTTTTGAAGGACAAAGAGCAAAACCTTTTGATGGACACCGTACGCGAGATTAATAAAGACTGGAATATGTAATAAATATTTATTACCCTTTGAAATTTTTCATGACCATTCTTATAACGGTTGATGAGCAAAGTTATCTAGCGATTATTGAGAATTTCCTCTAGCAACTTTTAATCCAATTATCTAGTTGTTTGTGCGAAATTTAATTGTTTTTTTACTTAGGCGTAGAACGACGCCAAGCAAAATGCGGTTCGAAATGCGAAAGCTCAGATCATTCCCAATGGAGAAGCTATGCTACGACCTAAAGCTAGAGATCTTCGAGCAAATGAAGCCGAGGGATGCGATTGAATTGGTCAAAGTGAATGTAGGATTTCGATCGATACTGTTGTGGAAACCTTGGATAGTTTTTGGGAATCACGTGTACGAGATTTCTATGTATCAAGAGATTCGTATTGGGAAATTTCCCCTCTATTCCTCATTCAATGGATTAGATGCCGATCTCCACTTTCCATTGATTGAACGAATCCACTCGTGTGTCGAATTGTCGATGTTGATAGAGGACAAAGAAGACGAAGTCGACGACGAAGACGAAAACGAAGACGACGACGACGACGACGACTAAGACGACGACGAAGACGAAGACGACAATGTCGACAAGAGCAAGTTCAACTTTACCGACGGACACGCGATCATTCTGAATCAATTGAAATCTGTGAAATATTTGAATCTCGAGGTGTACGGAAGAAAGTCTTTGCTGAAATTAATTGAGAATTTCCACTCGAAGATTGAAAAAACGGTTAAATTAGAGGTGCATGATATTCACGCTCTGTTCGAAGAAAATCAAGTGATCAGGGAGCTTTTTTGAGAATTTCATTACAATTCAGATGAATGACTGTGAAGAAGTGAACCTTGTATGTGATGAGTTTTCTTTGTTGGACTCAGAATTTAACTCCGGATTGCAATTCTACTTCGATGCTTTTATCAAGACCTCGATCAAATTCTTGCACATCACACAAATGAAAGAGGATCATCTTGAAGAGGCCGTGCATATAATCGTTAAAAAGAGAATGCTGAGCAAGAATTTGAGGGCGGCTGTTCGTGTTTATTGTCATTCTGTTGAATCCCTGGAGATGATTCCCCGAATCCTCGATTTTCTTTCACAATTCCCTGGAATGGAGCGATTCGACGGAGCAAATGAGCCAGAAGTCATCAAAATGGCGACCGAACACTTCGAAAGATATGTCGGAGAGGGGGGGAAGCTTGATTTCACGGACGCTCTATTTTTTTCGACGAAACATTGACTCGAGCAGGGATTGTGTCTACATGCTTGAATGCATACCCAATCGGTACAATTCTAGTCTATGGACCGGATTTTACGCCTTCTACGTTCAACCGCAATCGGAAATGATCCAATTTTGAGGGTTTTTCTTGAGTTTTGTACAATTTTGTTCTTAGATTGTGATATTTTTCCTATTTTTAATGGTCTCTGAATAACAGGTGAATAAAAGGAAATTTCTTTATTTTATTCAATCCTTTTTTTGAAAATGGGAAGGGGGATGCTTTTCAATAGCCGATAAGATATTACTCTACAATAGCCCCTTTCAACTCCTCGATTTCGCCGAATACCTTCGGTTTGTTTTTGACTTGAATTCATTCATTACAAATTTAGTGAGCTCAACTACTACACCCGACCGAACTACAAGAACTTCGCCGATTTGCTGAACGAGGTGATCATTTCTTTTCGCGATTCAGCCGAAACTCCGACCGGATTGTATCATAAAACAAGAGTTTCCATTTTGATTTCAATAAATATCTTTAACAATATTATTGCCAAAAATAGACATTCTCATTAATTCCTTTCACGTTGAATAAAGATATCTAAATAAAGATATCTAAATAAAGATATCGATAAAGATACGAAACAGTCAAATCTTTCACACAAATGCTTATTCTTTTGTTTTTATGTATTGGTTTGGTGCAGGTTTGATTCGTTAAAAGTTGTGGTTTCGTAAGAAATTCCAAGGTTCAAACGTTCAAAGTGTGTTCGAGTGATAGCGATTTCTCAAAGACTCTTCCATTTTGTATCCAAAAATGCGTACCGTAAATACTGTAATAGTACCCCACCCCCATAATGACGGTGCGGACGCGTTTTTCTCGACACTGGTTTATTACTACAATGCGCGCTTAGGTATCAAAAAATAGCTGAAATTCAGGGCTATTTTTTGATACCAAAGACGCATTTTTTGAAAGTACGGGTGCTTTGAAAAAAATGAAATACTAAAAAACTTTTGCGACTACGCGACTGTACAAGGGGGGTAGGGTACTATTACAGTATTTACGGTATGTATACGCATTACACCTAACCGCATAGCTACCGTATCTTTTATCGTCGGACTTTATAGATACAAGGAAGTTAACAAAAAAAATATCAAAAAATCGTTTTCAAAAGTTTCTTTCAATGATTTTCTTATAACTTTCGATGCTTCTCTTTTCATGATCTTATATCTACTAACGGATTGTAATTTTAGTTCCCTCAAAGGACTCAACGGGTGGCTTGCGTCGTTGACGACAAGCTGTTCAAATGGCAGATCCAGGCCTTAATGATGCCAAGATTGTGAGAAGTTTTCATTTGCTTTCTAGAATTTTTTTTAGGTGGCTAAAAATTTGAAGATCACCTCGATCGAGTAAGAAAAAAAGAACGGACCAGCCGCTACTGAAGTTTCTCAGACGATGAGCCACAAAGACGCAACATCAGATAACAAGAGTCGACAACACCGTCGTGCATCGGGAGCTGCAGAAACTGCGCGTGGAAAAGGTGGCGGCAGAAAGAAAGTCGATTAAGAATTTATCGAATCGATTGTGTAAAAAATATGAATGCTTTTATAGTTAACGCAAGGAATAATTTAAACTAATTGCAAATTAATTCACAGAAAACCTCGACATTCACAGTCACAGAAGAGTGTAGAAGGCGCAAACGCTGATCTTTTAATCGGACGTCCGATTAAGAATACGTTTCAAATTGGACCTCCGAATAAGAATACATTCATAATCGGATGTAACATATATATTTGGCATGTGATTGCAAGAAATTCTGAAAGATGGATGATTTTATTTGATTTCGAGAATTTAAAAAACAAAATGCTTATGGTTTATAACTGAGATCCATCGAAACTCCACAAGGTCCCGATGTTGTTCCTTTGTATTGATGAATTGTCGGCTTTGTCCAACCACCAAAAGCCACGAAACTAGAAATTTTGCTTTAAACTATTACCTTTTCTCGCAACTTACTGATCAAGATTCGCTTCTCCATTATAATTTGCCCACCAAAGTGGATATTTCGATGCTCCATTCCAATTTCCCGTGATCTCCGGGTAATCATAATGGGCTGCGTAGATGCCCACTTTGACATTCATTTTCTGAAATTTTGATATTTCAACTTGATCTAGGTTGATCAGACTTTTATAAAAAGCAACCGGAGTACGGTCATTTTCCCATCTTATAGAAGTCTCTACCTCAGCTTGGTCGATCATTCCTTGAATAAATTGCTGATTGTGTTTTGTATCAGATGGCCAAGTGCCTTCAATGTCCATCCACAAGGTATTCATCTGAAAGGAAGCTTTCTTTCTTTTGACAATCAGTCGATTCATCCGATTTCCATCGAAATCACCTTTGCTCCTTTAGCATTGATTGCTTTGATCGTATTCTCGACTTGTACGGCTCCCGATGGACATGACGATGTTGTACATGGATAAATATATCCATCCACATCTGTCCATCCAGCTGTAATTGTGATCTGCTTATAAAATCAAAATCGTATCAATCATTTACCCTGTCGAGCGTTCAAAATGTTTTGTATGCCAGTCGTGTCGACGATGTTATTCTGGAAAAGGTATTGTAGTATGTTTCTAATGACTTTAAGAAGATTTTGAAAACAATTAGCAAAGAGATCGTAAATGTAATTTGTAATTTCCCCATATAACGGCTGCTTCTGGACCCGATTTCCAAGTCAAGCCAAAGCCAAAGCCAAGGCTTTAGATCAAATCCAACAGTAATTCCGGGGCAGACCAATCGAAAGCCACTGACTTTGACCTGACTAGCCATGGTTGTTGGCTTTTGGAGTAAAAACTTTTCTGGCTACGGGCCTGTTGCGTCTAATCCACTTTACCGATCTTCCGACTCGTGCCACAAAGAAATCGTATCCATTTTTCTTGAGACATTCAAATCCCGATACGGTCACCGCCTAGGATACTTTATATCATTTCCACTCTCGATACGGTAGCTCATTGTCAGTTAGACGAAAAAATATAATCGAATTCAATCTCATCTCACTCACTTGAATCCCATCCCAGCCGAGTTTTGCTGAAACTTGGAGAAAAAGAATAGCGAAAATTAGGAGCACTTTCATTTTTTTGAGACCAATAAATAAAGCTTTGAGAAGATCGTTTTTCAGATTTTTTCATTTTTCATTTTTTCGTTTTTCAGAATCCTTATCAAAAGTTTTCAAAAAACTCATTCCGTGATTTAAGCGGATCTTTTGATAAGTACGAAAGATGGGAAAATCCAATAGAGAATGAGCGGATTAAATTTGAAATGTTGGTATTAATTAGGTTCTTAATTTAGATTGTGGGAAATCTCTCTGAAATCTACCAAAAATTGACGGAAATTTAATAAATTAGACTTTATGGAAGCTCTTTGTCAAATTTTGATTAGTCTCGCAGAAAAAAAACATGGTTTGTTTAATTTTTGAAGCATGATTTTGTTGACATTGATATCAGCTAATAACGGCTTACCGTAATACCAAGAAACGTCTACAGTATTCATTGGTACTGTGTAGGATTGTTTCAAAGTAAATCTTTCCGAACTAGGCTAGAAGTTAGGTATCGGCTTTGCTTCAGGTTTGGTTTAAAAGATCATTCCGGTAGAATCATGCAATATATCAATACGAACTCTTTCTTCGTTTTCGCTTTTTGCTTTTCTTATTTTCGTGTCTTCATTCATTTGTGATTCCCACGTTTCCCCTTCTTCCCCTTCCCTTTCTCCCTGAACTCATTCCTTTTCTTTTCCCCTTCCCTTTTCCATTCTTTGTTATGTCTACCAATTCTTTTCTCTTTTTTTGGAACAAAGATTTTCGGAAGAAAAAAAAAGAATGAAAAGTACCCGCAAGAAATGAAATGAAATGCTCTTCCCATTTTGTTAAACAACTATTGTTTTCTCCTTCCAAACTTACATCTATTATCCCTTGTAACTTTTAATCATCACTAGATTAACTTTCAAACGCTGAACTTTGTTGCTAAATTGTTGCTAAATGTTGCTAAATTTTACCCAATCGATTAACAAACAGTTTTTGTTGATCTCCCCAAAAAGCTAGGAAAAGAATTGACTCAAACTATAGAAAAACTTGAAATAGAAAGAAAATCTTTAATTTCTTTTGTTTACATATTGTGTGCAGTGAATCGACCTTGAACCAATCGAGAGTTTTTCTTTGATTCGCCGCAAAAGTGACTCTAATAGTAGGATTTCGTTCTGCGTTCTGAATAGAGTTTCTTTCTACACTTCCCACATATTTCTATGTAGGATTCTATTCATATTACATTAATAAAAACGATTCCCAGTTTGATTTTTTTTAAGTTTTCAGCTCTTGTAAAGTTTACGAGCTTTTTGAGGCCTCTCTTGTGATTTCCTTGAGTTTTACTTCATTTTTATATGTAAGTTGATATTTTTTAAAAGAACAATTACAATCAATAGAAAAAAAAGATCCATGATTATTCTTTTTAAAAAATATCAACTTGCAAATAAGAATAAAGGCCTAAAAAACCTCGTAAACTTTGCAAGAACTACTACAACCATCACTACTACAACCACTTCACTACAACCATTAACCATATCCACTTTTATTTTTCTTTTACCCACAAAATCTCTCCACTTCATCAATCTATTCACCTTTCAACAAATTACAATCGATTTTCGAATTAATTCGTTTCTTGGCCAGTGTGAATTATTGAGTTTCACCTCAAAAGAATGTAAAAAAAGGAAAAGTGGAAGAGTCTTTGAGCAATCACTATCACTCGAACACACTTTGAACGTTTGAACCTTGAAATTTCTTAAGAAACCACAACTTTTAACTAATCAAACCTGCACCAAACCAATACATAAAAACAAAAGAATAAGCATTTGTGTGAAAGATTTGACTGTTTCATATCTTTATTGATATCTTTATTCAACGTGAAAGGAATTAATGAGAATGTCTATTTTTGGCAATAATATTGTTCAAGATATTTATTGAAATCAAAATGGAAACTCTTGTTTTATGATACAATCCGGTCGGAGTTTCGGCTGAATCGCGAAAAGAAATGAGATGATATTTTGACATGAGAAACCCTAAAATATTTGCTTTTTGAAAAGGAACTTGTTTTCAGAATAAAGGTACTAAAGTTCGACTCAAGATTGCTCCAAAAAGTCACTTTTGTAGCTTATGGCTTTTCCAGATTTGAAATTTTAAGTTTAGATAGTTCAAATCTCTTGTCAGACACTTTTTACAGTATGCTGGAATGAAATTCGGCCTTGTTTGCTGAATTTGCTGAACTTTTATCCCGGATTACTGTAATGAAACCTTACATCCTTAAACTTATGTAACGATAAGTTTTGATGTAAATCTTCGGAACAACTACTGCATAAGTAATGTTCAATCTTTCCTCGTGGCATTTGTCTTTAATTGTTTGTTTGACTTCAATTTGTTTTACAATAATCTATTTTCCTCTCTACAAGCGTCTTCTTTTTTCAGATTGCTTATAACTTGAAATACAGATCTGTAATATTTATTTCCTTTTCAGATGAGGGAGTTCAAAGTGGTCGTGTTGGGATCGGGTGGTGTGGGCAAATCAGCGGTAATATTTTACATTCTTTTATCCATTTACCTTTTTATTTAGCTCACCGTTTAATTTGTTTCCGGCTCATTCATCGAAAAATACGACCCAACCATTGAAGATTTCTATCGAAAGGAAATTGAGGTAATTTTTACATGCAAACCGTCTCAATTTATTTTTTTAGGCTGATGGTCAACCATGCGTTCTCGAAATCTTGGATACAGCGGTTTAGGAGCAATTCGCATCGATGCGAGATTTATACATTAAAAATGGACAGGTTATTTTTTTAGTGCGCTTCTCAAATACGACATAATGCAGTTATGATTGATCTTGTTTAGGGTTTTGTCGTAGTCTACTCAATAACAAGTCAACAAACTTTTCACGATATCAAAACGATGAGGGAGCAAATTATCCGAGTTAAAGTAGGTGATTGTTTATCTTTTTTGGATATATTCTCTTTAGGGAACCGAACAAGTGCCTATTCTTTTGGTTGGAAATAAATGCGATTTAGCTCATCAAAGACAGGTAAAATTTTAGGCTTTTAAAAAATTTTATTATTTCTAGATTCGAACAGAAGAGGGCTTGGCTTTGGCCGAATATTGGTCATGTCCTTTCACCGAATGTTCAGCAAAAAATGCACATAATGTATGTTTGTTTGACTTATGAACAACCATCAAACTAGAACTAAACCTTTAAAAAAACAATATTGACAGGTAAACGTCACATTTGCTGAAATTGTCCGCGAGATGAACTATGTACAAAACAGAGCCCGACAACGTAAAGGATGTTGCAGTATACTTTAAGGTTTGAAAGTTTAATTGAACATCTTAATTGACAAATCTATTAGAGTTCATTCGTTCTATTCACCCTATGGCGGCCTTCAACTAATCGAGCTGCTTCGAGAACATTCCTTTTTTTCTAGCTTCTCTTCCTTTGCTCTCTTTGACTTCCAATTTCTACACATCAACACAGGTTTACTTTTCGTCTAAATTTTTTTGCTTATAAAGTATTGTCTTTTGCTTTTTAATCTCCAACCAAGTCCCAGCTATCCCGTTGAAAGAAATATTTTCCAGTTTTACCTCTTTGTGTTTTCCTTTCACTCTGCTTAAATTGAAATTACAAAGTCAGCTCAAATTTCCCTCCTATAAAAGATTAGAGTGTGCTATCTCCGAAATTTCTGATGTGTAGTATATCAGTGCCCAGAATATTTTTGTGACCAATAGTGACCAAGGATTCCTACGTGAAAGTAGGAGGCTACTTTCTTCTGTAAACTTTGTGATAATTTAGCAAAAAACGGATATGTTGCTGGTGATGTTGCGCAAAGAAAGCGAGGAAAAGCATTGGGATGAAATCACTCGTTTAGACTGAGCTCAAAAAGAAAAAGTTACCTACATTTATGCGAACTTATATTTATTCATTTAATTTTAGTGCTCCCAAGTTCGACACGCCTGGTTCGTCAAGTGACCCAAATGAATCACTTATGTCGATGATGAAAGAACTTTATGACAAGGGGGATGATGAAATGAAAAGGTTCATTATTAATATCCGATTTACTATAATAACAGTATATGATATACTATAACATTTGAAGCATTTATTTCCACTTGCTCCCATACCACACATTTTAAAACCCTTCGCAAAGCTTGGCACGAGGGTCAACAAAAGAA